AGTCGTAAGGGTTGCATCAGCGCCTGGATAAACGGATACAAATGTTAGCAAGCCACCACCATAAACATCTTCATCACCTCGACTGCATGCAGGATCCAAATCGCTTGACCGACCAAACAATTGACGAAAAGGTAGGGCCGAGGCAAATAGCACCTGGAGTATTGTTAGCAAATATGCGCTGCATCGATTGCTCATGACAGCAGAAGAAGCCAAGATATAGTCTTCACAAGGGGCAAACGTGTAACTCGGAGCGCGGCACAGGGCTAGGCGGGTTGCCGATGTGCGAAGATGCTGAAAATGACAAGGTAATCTGCTCTGTTTGCAAGTTATGCAGCGCTCCTGTACGAGGTATTGTTGATGTTCACTGCCCAAGGAATAGAGCAAAGCCACAACAGTAGGACGAGACAGGATAATCTTGGGAACGAAGCTGAGGCGCAGAGGCAGAAAGTAGGCGGACAAAACAGTTTTCCAGATCGAGATAGTACGTGAGAGAGTGGGGAAGAGAGTCCAGGCATACCAGAGCGAGGCTGATAGGCTTTGACGAGAACATGCACGGCGAAGGAGGCGGTCTGTGCGGCGGCTTGGTCTAGGAGGCACGAGCGTGGAGGCGAGGTGCGACTGCGGCAGGACTGTGAATAGAAATAGGAATAGGAAAAGCGACAAAAGAATTTCTGAAATTAGGAATAAGGGCTGGGACGATGTACAGATGAATCAAGGGGTTTAGAGAGTGCAAAGAAATAACATGGTTGAGGATGAGATTGGGAACAAGACAGAGTTGTCCCGTTGATTTGAGCTGCTGTCCATCGTTGCTTCCAAGATATCGGGCCGAGATCTTCAAGGACGTCGTACGTAAATGCTGTGGTGGGATAGGAAGAGGCGAGGGTGGTGAGGCCGACGGCAAGAGGTGCCAGGTGTTCCAACGTGATGGAGAGAAAGAAAGAGGCAGTGGAAGATTTCGCAGATGTTTTGCGTCGATATTGCAGTCGCGATCACGCGTGGATGCCAAGACCCGGCGGAAACGGATTATCCGATCCTTCAGTTCAGCTCCGTTGCTGCTTTTCTTCTCTCCCAATTCCCTTATGCCACGGGTCGTGCCATGGGCTGGATGATACCCTGCTTGATCAACACCCGCGGCTTCGTGCTGTCCTGGAACGTGGTCTTTGTCGTCCATTCAGGTCCCAAGGGCAGGCGCAGCGATCGTTCATACTGTTGTCGTGACTCGAATGGATGGGGTAGCTCGCTGGCCAAATATTTGCCGTTCTTCTTGACACGCTTTTCATTGATGATGACCTTTTCCAGCTTGGAGTCTTGTCGCTTTTCTTGGGCAACACCCTTGACCGTCGTAACGAACCGTCCCCGGGCTCTTTTCTGTGCTTTCTTGCTGATACCCTCTCCTGCCCAACTTCCCCAGCCAGGAAGGGTGTTGTCAACCACTTGGTCTCCTTCTTCCTCCACTACTTCTCTCTTTTCTTTGGCAAACTCCTGCTGAATTTCATCCGAGCCCGTAAAAATCGCTTGTGCAAGAGCGACTCTGTCATCTGGCTCATTTTCTGATTCGGATGGAACAATTGCATCGTCGAGGTGGCTCTGTGGCACCCGCGCCACCTTTTTGATCGAGTATCCATCGTCTCCGGCTACGCTATGTAAAGGATCCTGGCGTGACAGGTTGTCATTGGAGTTTAGTCTTGCCATCTGCTTTGCTGCGCCGGGGCGCTTCAACGACGGTTTTGATTTGATTTCTTGGTTTGCGGGTGCGGTGAGCGGTCGTGCGTCGCCGTCCATTCCTCCTATTTCGTCTTGAGCTCTTGAATCTTCAACCTCAGCCTCTGAGTCACGTTCCTCAAACTCACTCTTAGAAACGTGAACTTGAGGCTTCAGAGGAAGATCTCGGTTGCCCACTCCAAACTTTTGACGTCCCACTGGGGTTTCATGATCGAGATGCCTCTCGCCGACCGATCTCCCTTCGTCGCCATGCAGACTTCGTCTTAGGTTGCGAATCTCTTCCTCATTGGCAGCTTTCCTCGCAGCTTCTGCCTTTTTCATAAACGCCATCGAGCCGAGTCTCGTCTCGAACGCATCGACTTGATCGCGTTCGACATCATCGAGCTTCATCTCTAGCCTCTCTTTTTCGTCATCGGAGCCAGAGAACCCTTCGAAGCCGGAAGACTCTGAATCAGACACGTCTGACCCTGCGCTCGCCTTGCCTGCAACTCGCCTGCGAAGTTCTTCATCGCGCCTTGCAAGGTCAGTGACTCCGTGTCTGGCATCCTCATCCCACGCTGCCCTGCCTGTTGTCTTGACGCTTTTGGCCCATTTGCTCTCCCTGTGACGCGCTCCCATTCGTTCCTCAGCACGCCGGCGCTCATTCTTTTCTCTTTCTTCGTCCGAATCGATTAAGCCCTGCGCTGCTAGCAGCTTTCGATTCTCTTGATTCATATTCTCGCGTTCTTTGCGATGGACGCGCCGATATGCCTTGCTTTTGATCTTCTTGATCCGTCGTGCACGGATCTCCTCACGAAACATGAGATCCCGCATCCGCCGCAGTTCTGCTCTACGAGCTTGGACTTCCGCCAGCGGCATTTGCTTCTCCTGCAGTTCCTCGAAGGCATTTTCTTGAGCTTCCTGGGCTCTGCTAGCGTTTGAATGCATCCCACTTTCCATCATGATTTGGTGGATCGTTAATTCGAGCGAATTCATAGGCTCTGCAGTCGAGGTCGGTCCCAATTGCTTATTGCTCAACATACCAGCTGCTGCAGCATCAACAAGGGGGAATGAAAGGTGCTCTGCGCGTCGGTTTTGCTTGACACTTTCAATCCACTTGCCCAACTCCTTTTTCGTCTCTTCGTATGCTGCAGAACGATCAAGACGATCCTGCTGCCTTTTCGCCAGAGGCGGGGCAAGTTTTCCCGGAATCCCCGCTGTGTAGGCTTCATTGCCCCGGCCCTCGCTGCTCTGTAAGATTTTCAGAGATTGTCTTTGACGAGGGTCTTTGATATATTGTAGAAGCTCACTGGGTGAGATTTTCGCAGTGCTGAGGCCAAATTGAGAGGGCATATTTGGGAGGTTTAGACGATGTCGACGTTTGATTGTAGCCTGGCTCTTGTCTCCATCTGATAGCCCTTCCACAAAATTCTGGAGCCTAGAATGATCGCCTTCGTCTTCTGAAAATGACAATTCAGACTCGTCGTCTGATTCCTCGTTGTCACCGAGTTCAGACAGGGAGTCTTCGACTTCATGGTGATCATTGTCGGTGAGCTGCACCCCGGATTTTGGACGCCTTTTCGAAATTTTGTCTTGATCCTGGTCGTCCATATCCCAGGCCGTGGCCAAGTCCACAGCCTCATCCCCAAAGTCATCATCTGGTTCGTCGTCGCTATTCTCGCTCTCTTCCTGCGCGTTATCCCCTTCATCGAGGTCGACTCGAGGTTTCATGGAAGACCCCTCGTCCCGCCGCTTGGGCTCCGAGGATGTTGTAGTGCTTCCGCGAAATGTGAAGTCGGCAAACTTTTCTTCGTCGCTTGCGCCAAATGCGTCTTCGCTGTCAATGTCACTGTCCTCATCGTCCTCATTTATACCAAGATGCCATCTATTGCCCTCGAGGTCCGAACCTTCCTCTTCAAGCTCATCGGCAGCCGTGGTAGCAAGTTTCCTCCTCTTGGACGAGCGCTCGTCTGCGTCTGTCCTCCCGTGTGGGTCTTCAGAGTCATCGTCGACCTGCCCGAGCCGATGTTGTCGAATCTTAATCTCGTCGGGATGTTCTCGCTCCGCAATTTCCAATGCGTTCAGTCCGCGGTTTCCGGTAGGCTTCCTCTTAGCGGCGGTATACGACCTGGGGGCATGAGGTGGCCTCCCGTGCGCCTGGCGAGGCATTGTGATGTTGGAATTGGATAGCTTGGAGTCACTGGGAGTGATTGCGGGTCGTGGTGTTGTGCACAGGAAAATATAATCATGAACGCGGAGATAATGATTTTTTAGTGCGGGGATAACAGCCCTTGGCGACCATCCTAAAAGGGGCCGTGGAGCTGCCAAGGCCGCGAGGCTACGAGGCTGGGGAGAGGAAGGGGGTGAGCGATGAGCCCCAGCTGTCATATCTCTCACAGCTAATCGTCCCGTGGATCGATGAGTTGACACAGACCTTCCCTCAATAAGTATCTCCTACTGCCGTCGGAATATGTTCGGCTCTAGTCCGATGAATTGTCGCCGTTCGGAATGTGTGGTCGCCAGTGGTCGCCAGATTTTGACACAACAGAAAGCCCTGGATGTCTCGGACAAAGGGGATATGTCACCTTCAGAAATTTGCAACCATATTAACAGTATGGTGAGGGAATGGAGGGGGCTACCCGATACAATGCCACTTGACATATCGTCCGTTCCCGGGGAGGAATGTGCCAAGTTCAGAGCACAGATCTCAATGACAGTAAGGTCCACAAGTTCTTAGTCCAGGACCTACCTTTGTACCGTGTGTTCGCTCAGGAGCTTTGATGCCCGCGACACTCGCGTTACATTGATGTTTGCAGCCAAATCCTCGGCGAGGGTATAGAGGGAGGTTGGGCCTCGATTCTGCTCGAAGAATGCTACCGGATTGTATCTTCTACAACAAAGGCGGTCTGGAAACTTGAATACCTGTCGTTTGCGGAACTCGATTCTGCCTTTGAGGCGGACGCCGAGAGTCTCTCCAACACTCTGTTCACCTAGCTGCGACTATAAATTCCCGGAATCCCTGTCCTCTGCTGCTTGTTACTCTCCCTCTCCATCCTTTCTTCGGATAGCTATCACGATGATCGATTGGTACTGTGAAGACGGGAACGAACCCGTCGAACACGACTATACCCATCCAGAAGCGCCACTATGACAACATCAGGGCCGATGTCCCCAAAGAATGGCAAGAAGTCGGATGGGATATACGCAGCGGAAAGGATCCGCCAGTTGAGTTATGCTGGGCCTGTGGCTGGACTACGTACGAGCAAGACTGCAGTAGCTATTCACCGCGGGTCAGAATTATGCACGCTCGTTTCAACAAGGGGTTCTGGGCAATTGGATCCAGGTGGCTACTCAGGGATGAGACAAACGACCACACACGCGGGAATGAATACATGACATGGAAGTTTCTCAAAGAACAACCGGGTCTGAATATCCCTTTGGTGGAAGAGATGATACCCTTGAGTAAACCTCAAGATCCCCTACAATTCACACTCGTGTCTCGAGCCCAGGGGAAGATGCTAAGTTCAGTCTGGGCCAAATTATCTCCTGAACAGAAAGCAGGCTACAGGGATCAAATGGTGACCATTCTCAAACAATTGCGACAATTCACCGCCCCTTATCCCCAAAAGGTCAATGGCGACAAACTCCATGATGCTCTCATCGCCGCCTGCCCGGGCTGTGATCCTCCCAGCTGTTTCAAAGTGGGACGCACGGACGAGGAGTGGCTAGAGGACATTTCGGAAACTGTCCGTGGCGGGCTTTCCTATATTTGGAGGACCAAAGACGAGAAAGTGATTGAAGAGAAGCTTCAGAAGCTAGAAGACGACTTTCCAAGAGGAGGGCCGTATGTGCTGACCCATGGGGATTTGGCCCTGTGTAATATCATGGTCAAGGACGACAAGATCATTGCGATTATCGACTGGGAAAAGTCTGGGTACTTTCCTTGGTGGGCAGAGAAGTATTTCTCTCGAAGCTGGACTTTGGATGACCAGCGTGAACTTTTTGAAGGTGTTTGGGAGAGGGTTGCTCCAGAGTTGGCGGATGGTCCTGCCTGGGAGGCCCTGGTTGATCCAGTACATAAGATCAGAAGAGCCGTTCTCAACTGCAAAACTACCCACAAACCCCCTCTCCCTCCGCTTTATCGTGGGCCTTTCTGCAAATGCCGCCCTTGGGGCCAGCTACTCCGATCCCGAGATCGTGGAGCCGAGAATGTGCATGAGGTGGTGGAGTGGAGGAACAGCTGCACCCCAGGGTCGAGCTCCACCGGTGGCCTTGACCGCACTGAGACAGAATAGGAGGAATATCAACGGCCAGGAAACGCCAGGTGCAAGAGAGGTCTTGGTGCGAGGGGGATGACATCGCAAATCCTCGTCTCAGCAGGGAAGGGATTGTATGCAGAGTAGGAGTTTGAATGTTCAGCAACATTGTCGGGTAACCTTGAGAGATTCTCGTAACAGATTGTCCTCTTTGCCTGCTCTCCTTTTCCGATAATCCCTAAGTCACAATCGCCTTCTCCTCCCATCATGCATCTCGTGGTTGGTCAAGCAATATCCGCATAGAATTCGCCATCGCCATCCTTCATCCTCCATCACCATGGTCCATCACCACCCTCAATCTCTCATCGTGTTGCATATTGCGTGGTGATCGCAACATCCAGCTGATCTCCCCATATCAAATCTTATGCCAGACCAAGGTTCCTGTGGACTCCAGAGTAAGTTGAAATTCAACCAAAATAAATCGGAGGGTTAATACTGACCAGAAACCATGGTGTCACGTGCCAAAATTCGGTCCACCGAGCTGAAGAACAGGTCCTTGCAATCTTGATCGCCATCGGTCCAGTCGAGGATTTGCAGACGTTTTGGGCTATTCGATGGGGTTGCGTAGACGCAGAACTTCTTCTCCATTCGTCCTGGGTCATCTGTCACCGGCATCTGGATCAACAGTAGCTGTTCCTCATCATCGCCCACGAAGATGGCAGCTCGGGTACCGCCGTCGAGTGATTCAAAGGCTGCATGGAAAGAGGATTTTGGAGAGCGGTGGTAGATAGGAGCCTTGCTGCCAAAGGCATAGAAGTCCCATTAGAGCTTCTCCTGGTCGTCGGTCAGCGTTGGCAAAGTCAACCCCTCGCAGACGTTGCATGTTGTTGATAATCCAGCGTTCTGATTCGAACAGAAGAGACACTTTCTGCGTACGAATGAAGCCATTGGGTGGGATCGTAAATGACGTATTTGGTGTGCTATTTCCAAGCAATGAACAGGGTGCGAAGAAGTCGGTGGATTCAGATCCAATAAACAAATTTGTGGAAATTTCAGAAGTGAGATGGCTCAATTATCGTGATTTGCTGGCTTTATCAAGGCGCTGTCTTCAATATGGTCTTTTGTTTCCTGGATCCTCCACCTGGCCAAAGAAGCCCAGCAAACAATTGCCTTGCGACAATCCTCAGGCGGTCGTAACGCAAACATGTAGAAAGCCATTTTCAACCTCAACAATCCCCGTCTAAAAGGATCAATGCAGAGGATGGGGATATATGGGCCGTCAAACTGACAGGGCAAGATGCAGACTCCCGTGGGAGTGGCTGTGTTAACTGTGGTTGAGGTGCCATGCGGCTTTGTTTTCTCCTGCAAGAAACCTTGAAGCAAGCGCCGACTCATTGCTCTTCACTAACTCTTTTGCATAGCAGCAAGCAGATGGTTCCCGTTCCGTCTGCAATGTTAGCTGCCATAATGTCTTTATTGTCACTGCGCAGTGGCATAGATCCGTTCGGCCGCTTGCGGGGGAAACGGATGGCAGATTCCGGTCAGAGGAGCAAAGCGTACAGTGTGACGGCGAATGAAGAAGTGGATGTCACCATGACCGCTGCAAGAGCCGCTATGCCTTTGATGTCGTCTACTGTCCTCTGGAGATGGAGAGTCAGAACTATCAAACACCTGTAGAGGGAGGGCAGCTGGCGATCCTTGTGCGTCACTGCGCAATCAGGCGGTGCTGACATCGTCAAGAAGCTCGGTAGGCAGTAGTCTTCACCAAAGCTGGCAGTAAGTCCGCGAACATTCGAGAGCTAGCCTTGCGAGTTGGTTGCTCGATCGATGTTCATAAAGGTCGCTGTACCAAGTCGCGAAAGTCTTTGAAATGCCTCATAGCCGGGCGCTGTGAGCCGTTGTGATAGCATCGCCCTGTCTGCCAACAGCCCCTGATGAATGGTTGAATGTATCCTCCACCTCAAGATTCCGCGTTTGAAACCCCTTATTGGTGTGAGGGCGGCATGTAGTCGGTGCCAAATCAGGAGAACCGAAAAGTTGAAGTCAGTGTGAGTTTTTCGGGTGGTGCGTGTAAAACGCGCTAAGGGCGACGCGACAAATGGGACAAATGGGACAAATCGAGCCAGAAGTAGAAGCAGCGGCCAATTCCCCCGCTCCACACTTCACTTGCTGCTGGAGACGTGATTCAATTTCGACTGCGCCCATTTCTTTCCTGGCGAACAGACGACCGACAACCTGCGCAAACCGCCTGACCAACTCTCAGACCACAGTTTGCAGCTTTTGACTGTGTATCCCACAACTACAGCAAAAGACTGCCACCGCAACTCCATCCGGTCTGTGTCCATGCGAAACATTCCCTTGCTGGTCGGCGCCGAGAAACCCTTCGACCATCCTTCCCGCGATACACACTAGCTTCACCGATATTGAACTTCAAAGGTCGACCCGGCACCGTCCTCATTGCTCTACCTACTGCCTCGACACTGGATCGCGTTTGATCGAGTTTGGATCCTTCGGTGAGCTGAATCTTGTACCCAGTCCCGCCAGAAGAGGAAAAAAAAGTAGTGCGAGGGGAAAAGCTACCTGGTAAAGGATCTCCTTTATCATTGAAAAGGAAGAACATTCCCCACAACAGGCTGGACAGCGCTGCGTGCGCACCCGACATGCGCTGACACGCAGTCCACATACCTATACCCGACCAGTTCACCGGGTCCGATTTCTTCTGACTCTTGTCGATAATGATGGCATCGGGAGGCATTCATTCAGGAGTCTATGCGCAACCCCCTCCACCTTTCCCTCAGCACGGCCATTCCACCTCTATGAACCCAAATTTTCCCCAACAACCTCCGCCCATGGGCCCGTTTGAAGGCCAGTCGATAGGCTCTACACCAGCACCCACTCCTCCACCCCCCAGACCTGCATCTCAGCACCAACATCAGCAAGGTTTATCCGCGCAGCAACAGATGGTGTATAGTATGAACGGAACTGCATCCATGACCAATGGAGGGATGATGGCACCGCCCAATAGCTTCGGTACTTACTCGGAAGCGAATGCGTTCGCGCAACCCGACTACTATGCGAACGGGCTCAAGCCACAGATATACACTGCCGTCTACTCCAATGTGTCGGTTTTCGAGATGGAAGTCAACGGAGTAGCTGTCATGCGACGCCGAGCAGACTCTTGGCTGAACGCGACCCAGATTCTCAAGGTGGCGGGGGTGGACAAGGGCAAAAGAACGAAGGTGCTCGAAAAGGAAATCTCGGGTGAGCATGAAAAGGTCCAAGGTGGCTATGGAAAGTATCAGGGCACTTGGGTCAACTACCAGCGCGGTCGAGAATTTTGCAGACAGTATGGTGTCGAGCAACTGCTCCTACCACTGTTAGAGTATGACATTAATTCGGATGGTATGCCTGGAGTCTCCCAGGGCATCGAGACGCCCACTAAGGAACAAGCCATGGCAGCCCAGAGAAAGCGAATGTATGGTGGCGACAGCCGCGGGGGCGGGCATCCGACTGGGGGCACCTTTTTCAAAAGCATGTCCAGTACCGCAGCAAACGCTATTCATGCCTTGAATAGAACGAGGCTCGACTCTCCCAATATGGAGGGACGACGCTCCATCGGCCCCAGAAAACAGTCCCAATCATTTGGCTATAGCCAGGAGACCATGTATGCCAGCCAACAGAGCATACCGAGTATGACGAGCCAGGATAGTTTCGGCACAAACGGAGGGATCATGAGCCAAGGTGCGAGCTTCGTGGATTTCCCTACGACAGATTCGCAGGAGCCGCCGCGCAAACGCGTTCGACCTTCACCACAGTCATCATTCCTGTACGATGGCGCTATAGATCTCAGCATGCAGGACAGTGTCCCTACAGAGCCGAACGTTTCATTTTTTTCTCAATCAGGGCAAGCTTTTATCTCTGCGGATCCGCTGCCTTATGGCCTGGAGCCACTTCCTCACCCATCTGGACCTTTGGAGGAGCAAAAGAAGGAACTCTTACTCGACCTTTTCATCGACCCTTCACGAACAGATTTTGACGACCATGCAGCTTTTTTGCGGTTGAGCGGCGATGAGTATGAGGTGCCTATCGATGGCTCATCTAATACTGCGTTGCACTGGGCGGCCACGTTAGGTCGAATTGCTCTCGTTCGAAAGTTGCTCGAGAAGGGATTCAATATGAGGCGAGCAAACAGCGGCGGCGAAACAGCATTGATCGCTGCGTGCCAGGCGAGAAACAATCTCGATCAGGGTTCTTTCCCTGCTCTGCTGGAGCTTCTCGGTCCGAGCATCGAAGTTAGAGACGGACGTGGGCGGACAATGCTCCATCACATCGCCGTTGCCTCTGCGATAAAGGGAAGGGCTGCAGTCGGGAAGTACTACCTCGAGTCTCTTCTCGAGTATGTGATTCGACAAGGCACATCGTCAAAATCAAGCACGCAGTTTGATGCGACGGGTGGACTCAATAAGCTGAGCCAGACAAACCCCATGACACTAGCGAGATTCATGTCGGAGATTGTCAACGCACAAGACAAAACAGGAGATACAGCTTTGAATTTGGCAGCAAGGACAAGCACGACTACTATCATTGATCAGTTGGTTGAGGTCGGTGCAGATCCGCACATCAGCAACCGTGGTGGCTTGTCTCCGGCAGATTTTGGGGTGGGTGGCGGACCGGTCAACTCCCACATGTTTGACCAAACGTTTGCAGCGTTCGATCAGCCTTCGGTGGCGAACGGGTCAACACAGAAATCCTTCGAAGAGGCTCAAGAAGGACTCATGGCCTGTAAGTAATGTGGCACCAAGTATGTTCTGTGATGCTAATGGTAACAGCGATACGAGAAGTTCTCGCTCAATCCGAGGCCGACTTTGCAGCTGAGATGAAGGAAAGGAAGGAAATCCTAGACAAAACCAATGCCGCGTTGAAGGAGTCGGGCAATTCGCTCGCAGAGGAGCGGCGGCGGCTAGAAGAAAATCAAGCCAAAGTGCGGGAAAAAGACGAGTTAGAGCAGAAAATCAGCAATCTACGTCGAGCGGCAGCCAAACTTCGCACCGAGCTGAGCGATGCCAATCCGCTCAACACGATTCAAGACAACGTTATGGTCGGAGAAGCGGATAGAGGCCTCGACCTTGAGGGACAACTGCCGCTCGTGACACAGTTCTTCCCTGATGGCGAAGTCGACGCTGGCCTGATATCATTGACACCGGAGCAACTCAACCTCTTGGGCAGCCTTGAAAGAGCGGAGGTGGTGTCGGGGCGTGTTCAGGTGTATCAGCGACACAACCAACAATTGGAGCAGACGGCCAAGGTGCTCAAAGCCCACAGTGTGGAGCTCGAAGCACGGTACAAGAAAATTGTGAGCCTGTGTACGGGCGCCGATGAAGATAAGGTTGACGCCTTACTGGACGGACTCGTGCAAGCGGTTATAAGCGAGCAGAAGGATATGAGCAACAATTCGCAGCTAGGCCGAGTACGGGACTTTTTGAGGATGGTGCAAGGGTCTCAAAATTAGGTCATGTGTCCAACACAGAGGGATTGACGGGAATGTCACAGGCGACGAGTGTTGTTGAATTCAAACGGCACACGGGGCTTCACAGCGCGTTTGAATCTGTGTGGCCAACTCTGTGGAGGCTTTTGCATAATGTATCGTGGCTGGGGGTCCAGCTGAGCAACAAATATCGATTCAATGAGCCGATATGCGCAGTGTCTATGCAGTCAATGTTCATCTACTATGAGTCTCACTGGTAACGCGCGCAAAACGGGAAGAGCACGGAAATCAACCAAGTCAGCCTCGTTGACAATAACAACGACAAAGATGGATTCAATGCCAGCCTCTGGACTGCGCGGTTAAGTCAAGAATAAACACGGCATGGTCTTCTTTGGGTCGGCGATGGACCTGTCAGTTTCGGTTTTCTAATTGCCATTGTGTGATGGTTGGATGAGAAGTGCTGAAACGATCGGCCTCGAAACAGGTTATCGGATGTACTTGTAGAGACGGGCCGGACGAGGGAAAAGGTCGGACGCTGGGCAGCGAATGGATAAAGGGGGTCATTTTCCACGAGCGACCAATGGATAGAGCCGATGGCATTGTTTCAAGATTGCGTTTCTCAAACGATAGGCGGGGACGCCTCCTTTTGCTTCAGCCCCGCCATGCCCCGCTCAAGCCCCACCCGAAGCAGCCTCCTGTCCAATAATTCTGACGAAATTGACTCTATCCCCTGCCCCTGTCTCCTGTTGGCTGCAAGCCATTGTGTCGAATCTTCAGAGAAACCCCGCCCCTGCCCCCCCTTCAAAGGTCCACTCATCCCTTCTCCTGGACCTTTCTGTTGAGAGCACACCGACATCAGTGGCACGACGAAGTACGAGGTACTACCAACTCGGTACTTCTCTAACCTAGCCAAGTATAGAAGGCTACCTATCATTCGGCGAATTCGCGCTACCTTGGCACCATGCAACCTCTGTTGCGACATCCCACTTTCGCGTTTCGTGCTGCGCCGTTCACCTGCTTCTGTTGTTTCACACCAGAATCCACTTGTCTTCTCAACTATCCTAAGCGTGGCCTACTCCAAGGTAACCCGTCGACAAGTCTCTCTCCTTATCACCCTTCGGTAGGTACCGAGGACTCCTTACAGACCACAATGGCCCAGGTTGGCCAAATCGACACCCACAGACCAAGTCTCCATCGCAGCCCACCCGACCATGTGTCAACCCTCCTTGGCCCAGGGAGTTCCCCTAC